GAACTCGAGGAGGCTTTGTCACTCTAGAATGAGCACAGTGCCGGAGAAAGACTGCATCCCATATGAATTCATTCGGAGGATGCCCTGGGCTTTTCGGTCCCACCTTCTCTTCTATAATGCGTGCTGGTTCTTGGGTGTCTTTCTTGACTCGTGGAAATGCACCATTCGTCTCCCCTTTTCGAAGCCTGGAAAGGATGCGTCGGTCCCGAGCTCATATCGGTCTGCTTCCATGGCTCAGGAAATTCATGGAACGCCTGGTACCCCTCCGGCTGCAGTTGGTAGTAGAGACATCGGGTCTCCTGCCAGAGGGCTTCAGTTGGTTTCGTCCGAGAAGGAGCACTATGGACTGTCTCCTCACCTTTGAACATCGAAGAATGAACACTGATCGTCGGAGGAGGGTGCTTCTTGCAGCTTTCTTTGACATCCAGAGTGCGTTTGACTCTGCATCACATTTAGCTGTCCTTCAGGGCTTGGGTCTCTCGGGTTCCACATTGGGATGGTTTCAGAGCTCTCTACATGTAAGCTCGTTCAGAGTGGCGGTGGGTGGTGTTGACTCCTCATCCCACCCAGTCTCTAGTGGTGTTCTCCAGTGAGTGATCATCAGTCCACTCCTATTTTCCATTCTTCTGTCCGATCTCCTGGTCTTCCATGGTGCCCAAGTTTTATGCTATGCAGATCACATAACCCTTCTGGCGGATAGTGCCACTCTCCCGGAGGTGCAGAGTTCCCTGCAGGAGGCAATGAGTGTGTTCTCTGCAAGTGTGATGGGAAAGGAGCTCTCAATCAACCCGGAGAAGAGTTGCGTCATGTGCTCTCATAATGAAACTACAATGGGTTCCGTCTCTTGTCGGGATTAATGACAATGAGGTAGCTGACGCAGCATCAGGATTGGCGCATGGTATCCATGAAGTTACACAGGTGTGGCTGGAACTAATGGAGACTCTCACATAGCTCTGGGCAACCTGCCTTGCGGGATGGAAGGCAGAAAATTTTGACTGCCCTTAAATCCTCTTCTTTGGGTACCCTCCGGGAGGGCGCCTTCCCGAGTCCTTGGGCCCATCAAAGTTAATGTATCCTGACACAACCCTAACTCACCTTCTGACTAGGCACACCTGTCTGACTGGGCATCTCCATTGTCGCCGGTTGAATGATTTTCCCTACTGCCAGTGGTGTCAGAACAAGGTGGATACTGTGGAACATCTATTTCTCCACTGCCAATGGGTTTATTGAGCTCACATCACACTACAGAGTGCTATTCATAGGTTGCATATTCTTTGCCTCACCCGTTTTCATTGACGGAGTGGGCGCGAGAGAGGGCGACATCTGCTACGACATCTTTTGACATACCTTTTACTTTATAGATCACTTAGTATTTGAGGTCTTGGGAAGGCCTGATCATGGATGTGTCTGATCACTTTTTGTTGCAGAGTGATTCTTCTGGTTCTGTGTGGTGGTTCATGGATCTCGTAGTCGCTGGTGGTGTTTACTGCTTCGTGGGGGGTTGTTCGGGGTCTGGGACATACATGCGGTGCTTCATGTGGCACAGCTGCCTTCTGGCAAGGTAGTTGAGCCTGTATACATACATATATATATATATATATATATATATATATATATATATATATATATATATATATATATATATATATATATATATATTAGTATATTTTGGTAGCAGTCTTTCCTGTAGACATATATTATTAAATATGACCGAAAAAGTAAGATTAATAATTCTAACACGAATTTTCTCAATCTTTCGTACATTACGCTTCACTGTTGGAGGTAAATCAAAAATCACTTCCCCAAAATTCATTTTTATTTCTAGTCTGACGCGACACGGGCGCGTTTCGTAAAACTTATTACATTTTCAAAGACTTCACAAATACACAACTGATTAGAACTTGCGTTTCTCTGATTTTATATCTACATTTGAGTGAGGTGGGAAGGGTGATGTGGCATTAACACAAGACAGAACAATAGGGGATATTAATAGGGTATTAAAAGTATCAACACAAGACAGAACAGAAACAATGGGTATTGAATAGAAGTGTTTGTAGAAAGCCTATTGGTCCATATTTCTTGATGCTTCTATATTGGAGCGGAGTCTTGAGGTGGGTAGAATATAGTTGTGCAATAATTGGCTGATTATTGCACAACTATATTCTACCCACCTCAAGACTCCGCTCCAATATAGAAGCATCAAGAAATATGGACCAATAGGCTTTCTACAAACACTTCTATTCAATACCCATTGTTTCTGTTCTGTCTTGTGTTGATACTTTTAATACCCTATTAATATCCCCTATTGTTCTGTCTTGTGTTAATGCCACATCACCCTTCCCACCTCACTCAAATGTAGATATAAAATCAGAGAAACGCAAGTTCTAATCAGTTGTGTATTTGTGAAGTCTTTGAAAATATAATAAGTTTTACGAAACGCGCCCGTGTCGCGTCAGACTAGAAATAAAAATGAATTTTGGAGAAGTGATTTTTGATTTACCTCCAACAGTGAAGCGTAATGTACGAAAGATTGAGAAAATTCGTGTTAGAATTATTAATCTTACTTTTTCGGTCATATTTAATAATATATATATATATATATATATATATATATATATACATATCATGTATCTGAAGTTTAGTTTTGAGTAAATTTTATTATTTTATCATTGCTTTTGGTGTCACCTCCATCTCACTGAGCATTGTGAGTGAATGATATATGATCATACCACACTGGTGCTGGCATTACATTGTAGGAGACCGTGGGTTGGCAACACGATATTATATTTGAATGCTGGTACTGGCATTACTTGGAAATTGTCCCTGGGTTGGCAATACGACATTATGTTGACCAGACCACGCACTAAAAGGTGAAGGGACGACGACGTTTTGGTCCGTCCTGGAATATTCTCAAGTCCAGGACTTGAGAATGGTCCAGGACGGACCGAAACGTCGTCGTCACTTCACCTTCTAGTGTGTGGTCTGGTCAACATACTTCAGCCACGTTATTGTGACTCATCGTCTGCAATACGACATTATATTATGCATTCTAGTACTGATCTTATATATAAAGAGGTCCTGGGCTGAAGATACTGTAGATACCATATCACATTCGAACCAAATTGCGTTGCTGGGACGCAGAGAAAATTACCCACCTGGCGACCGGAAAGGAAGAGGTGAGACTGAGGATACGGCCGGAAGTCCTGCAAAACTTTGCACACACAGGTGGGCAGGCCTGGTGGGAGTGTCACACACTGCAGGATTGAGCTCAAGCAGTAAATGCTGGGCCTTCTCCTCTCCCCCTTGGGTCCAAGGTCAAATAGTGGTGACCGGTCTTGAGGCAAGGCTTGGAAAGCTTCCTGTGGGTGATATATGATACCTTAGTGGAGGGAGCAAAGACCCACGGTGTGGGGTTACAGGGTCAGTAGCATGATCCCCTGCTGTTTAACTGTAACCTCACGTAACGCAAGGCCAAGGTGAGTTATGCGTGACACCAAATGCCAGCATGGCATTGAATAAGTTGACTAGGGATAGCAGAAGATTGCCTGGTATGAATTAGATCTGCTTTGCTTTGATCCCCGATGGTCCTGGGGGATGCTTTTAATGACTCCTCTCATCTCTACCATTGTTATGGGTCTTATTAGAGGGTAGTTGTCTTGGAGGGTTGTTAGGTCTATCAATGGGGTGCTGAGTAGGGAGGCGGCGTTTTCTGTGGTCCATTGGTTGACACGGTTGAAGTGAATGTTGTTGAAGGCTTTGCTGTTTGAAGCCGTGAGTGTTTTTTTCCATATTGCGCCCATGAGGTCAGCCTGTTCTTGTAGGTCTTCTATTTTTTCCTGTTGCTCCTCGTCATCTTCGTCTAGGAATGTGTGTACGAGGTGAGTGAGGCTGAGGTTAACCGATCCCAAGAGCTATCTGATCTTACGCCAGAAGGCTCCCGGCTCCCTTTTGTACTGGTTGGCCTGTCTCACAAGGGTTCCCCAAATGTGACTCTTGTGAGTCTGCATTAGATCTATGATTTTCCTTCTGAGAAACCATAGATCATGATAATGATTTTGGCAGCCTCGTTGGTACTCATTAATTTTACCTCTGATTTCTCGGGTCGGTTTATATTGGTGGTAAGTCCTTGTGGTGGGTCTTTCACAGGTGGCCTCAGTTGCAAGCTGGATGTGGTTGTGGATGGTGTTTACTGTTTGGTCTATTGTATGGGTGGGTAGGTTGTCGAACTCAATGATGGGGTCGTCAGCGAGGAAGGTGTCATAGTCCCGGGCTCGCATGGTTTCCTGCCTGAGCCTGGGAGGTGCCACAAACTGGAAGTGGGTAGCTTGGAGGGTGGTGACCACAGGAATGTGGTCCGACCCCCACGTTCTTGCCTGGGTTTACTCTGCAGTGGAACCGGTCACAGTCTCTGTTGGTCAGCACTATGTCAAGGGTTCCCCTCTAGTTGCCCGCAAAGAACGTCTTAAAGTGGGGGCCTTGTAAGGAGAGGTCCCTGTTTTGCATTAAACTGAAGAGCTGCCGTCGAGGTCTGCTCTGGCAGGAGCGTTGAATAAGGCCTGGTGGTGGGCCTTCAGGTCTCCCACGATTATGGTTAGGAGGTTTCTGTCGAGCAATTTTTGACATACCTTTCACTTTATTAGATATGTCCGTCAACTGAAGAAGCTGAAAGGATCCCATCCCTATTCACAATTTCCCAGTATTAGGCAGCCAAGTCACATCCGATCCCTCAATCGTAGTCGCCCCTAAATCAACAACACCATCATTCTTGCCATAGAGATTTCCCAGTTATCTGCGCATATCCCAATTACATTACATTAGATTTGCCATATTTGTTCTTATGTTCTAAATCAGAAGTCGTTTTCCTGTACCCCACCTGTGTAAAAAAATAATGAAATAAAAAATCTGTTTCAATTTTACTGAACATAAATAGAAGTTGCCTTGTATGGGCCAATAGGCATCCTGTAGTTCCATTTATTCTAATATTGTTATGTTGTGTACAGGAGGTTCGGAATGTTTGGTGAAGATGAGGGCTGGCGGTACATACTACACTCACTGTGGGCTTGGGGCGTGCCGGGGCTCATCACCAGCCTCGCCCTCACCCTCAACCACTACCGCGCCTCCCTCCCCTGCAGCGTCATCACCCCCAGGATTGGTCTCTACAACTGCTTCTTCTCCGGTCAGTCTCCCATGGTGTACTTACCCCTGCAGGAGGAATGCTGTAAACATTGCTGTTCCAGAGTCACATATTTTGGAAATTAGATAATCCAAAGAACAGGTTAAGCGGAATATGACTGTATTTACAAATCTGATTGAATTATCCACAGACCAGAAGGCCAAACTGGTGTATCTGTACGTGCCCATGTTACTGACGCTGTGTGCCAACACCTTCCTGCTCCTCGCTTCTCGCTGCGTCCGCTCAGCAAACCTGCGCCGAATGGAAAAGGGTTAGTTTAGTTCATATATTTTGCACCCCAACTATATCCATACTGTGAACGGCAGTGAAAATGTTAGAGGCACGTAATGGGGTCATGAACTAAATCCCCCATTATTCGGTTAGCATGTTACATCATGTTTGATAACCGGTTTCGCCAGGATTGTGAAGATGTGCTGACAGTGTGTCACATCAAGGAGACCGGGAGCAAGACCCATTGAATAGACCCAACTAGCTAGACCTACTAGTTGTCAAGAGGATGACGTTCTTCGATTGAAGAAACTCGAGAGAAGAGACGGGTACTGGTGATACAAGATATTATCACTGTGACAAGGAGTCCACATCAAAAGAAAAACACGGAGGGTAACGAAGATAACCAGGACCCTGAGAGAAGAGTCTCGGCCATCGTTAAGAGAGTGAGACACCATCAACCGGTGGATATGAGCTCGAGCTATGCACTGTGATGGTAGGACTGGAAGTACCAGAGGTTAGGGCTTATAGTGGTTTATGGAGGAATTTTAATGAACAGTGAGGGACTAGGGAGAGGCCCAGAGGCCATCAGCCGAGTGAGCGGTTGAGGTGTATTAGTGAAACAAGGTGAGATTGATGCCACAAGGTAGTTGTGAGGAACCAGCCCACAACGAGGTACTTTAAAGTTATTACAAGAAGGGTACCGAGAGTTAGAGCCCCAGGTGTACAGTGAGGGTAGCAGCATCCCTGTGTGAGCGATATACAGGAGTAACAAGAGTGGGGCCAAGAGGGAGAGCCCCAGGTGGACAGTGAGGGTCGCTGTATCCCTGAGTGAGGGACTGTATAATGAGTTTTCCAAAAAAACAAGGGTCCACAAGTGAGGTGGGGCCCAGAGCTGAGTACCAGGGTGTGTGATTGTGATGGCACATCCCAGGGAGGTAAACCGAGTTTACAGAGATATATTGTGTGACGGGTCGTGACCCCTAATTACGTATCTCACAGAATCGCCAATTATACTCCGGCATACTCTGGCATAAGAGGAGTCGATGTTTCTCTAGAACGCTCGACAATGTCCGCCCTAAGTGCTGCAGCACTCTCCGCTCTAGAGCTCCTCTCTGATTGGAGCCTATTCCCCTCCCTAGGTACCACTGTTCACCTCTGGGGAGCACCCCAGTTGAACTATGGAGCCCCCAGTCCTTCCCCACCGTTCCTCCCTCCCCCATCCCATCGTCTTCCCAGCCATTCCCTACTCCCCTGTCCCCTCGTCCTCCCCACCATTCCCCTCTCCCCCGACCCCTTGCCCGCCCCACCATCCCCCACTCCAGCGTTCCCTCGTACTTCCCACCATCTCCCACTCCCCCATCCCTTCGTCCTCCCTACCATTCTTCCCTCCCTCGTCCTCCCCACCATTCCCCGTCCCCTCGTCCCCACCATTGCCAACTCCCCCGTCCTCTCCACCATTACCCCCTGCCCAGTCCCCTCGTCCTACCCACCATCCTCTACTCCCATGTGTTCATGCTCTACAACTTGTAAACTTGCAGTGTTCACTCTCTATAACATGTAAACTTGCAGTGTTCACTCTCTATAACATGTAAACTTGCAGTGTTCACACTCTATAACATGTAAACTTGCAGTGTTCACTCTCTATAACATGTAAACTTGCAGTGTTCACACTCTATAACATGTAAACTTGCAGTGTTCACTCTCTATAACATGTAAACTTGCAGTGTTCACACTCAATAACATGTAAACTTGCAGTGTTCACTCTCTATAACATGTAAACTTGCAGTGTTCACACTCAATAACATGTAAACTTGCAGTGTTCACTCTCTATAACATGTAAACTTGCAGTATTCACACTCAATAACATGTAAACTTGCAGTGTTCACTTTCTATAACATGTAAACTTGCAGTGTGTCCACGCTCTATAACATGTAAACATGCAGTGTTCACGCTCTACAACATGTAAACTTGTCATGTGTTCACGCTCTACAACATGTAAACTTGTAGTGTTCACACTCTACAACATGTAAACTTGTAGTGTTCACACTCTACAACATGTAAACTTGTAGTGTTCACACTCTACAACATGTAAACTTGCAGTGTTCACACTCTACAACATGTAAACTTGCAGTGTTCACGCTCTACAACATGTAAACTTGTAGTGTTCACACTCTACAACATGTAAACTTGCAGTGTTCACATTATACAACATGTAAACTTGCAGTGTTCACACTCTACAACATGTAAACTTGCAGTGTTCACGCTCTACAACATGTAAACTTGCAGTGTTCACACTCTACAACATGTAAACTTGCAGTGTTCACACTCTACAACATGTAAACTTGCAGTGTTCACGCTCTACAACATGTAAACTTGCAGTGTTCACGATCTACAACATGTAAACTTGCAGTGTGGTCACACTATACAAAATGTAAACTTGTAGTGTGTTCACGCTCTACAACATGTAAACTTGCAGTGTTCACACTCTGCAACATGTAAACTTGCAGTGTTCACACTCTGCAACATGTAAACTTGCAGTGTTCACATTCTGAAACATGTAAACTTGCAGTGTTCACATTCTACAACATGTAAACTTGCAGTGTTCACACTCTACAACATGTAAACTTGCAGTGTTCACACTCTGCAACATGTAAACTTGCAGTGTTCACACTCTACAACATGTAAACTTGCAGTGTTCACACTCTACAACATGTAAACTTGCAGTGTTCACACTCTGCAACATGTAAACTTGCAGTGTTCACACTCTACAACATGTAAACTTGCAGTGTTCACACTCTACAACATGTAAACTTGCAGTGTCAACATGTAAACTTCAGTGTTCACACTATGCAACATGTAAACTTGCAGTGTTCACACTCTGCAACATGTAAACTTGCAGTGTTCACACTCTACAACATGTAAACTTGCAGTGTTCACACTCTGCAACATGTAAACTTGCAGTGTTCACACTCTACAACATGTAAACTTGCAGTGTTCACACTCTACAAGTAGGGTGTTTGGTGACATTGGCCGTGACGCCCGTCAGCCAGGGCGTCTGCCTTGCATGTAACAGTTATGTTTTGAGTAGCTGAGTGCAATCAGTGATGACAGTCATATGCAATTAATGGTTCAACTCTGGATACATTACTCGTTTGAGTCCAAAGATTATGGAAATATTTCTGGTTGAAGAGTGGAACTCTAGTTTATCATTCAAACTCTTCACACAGAATATGAACGGTCTCTCCCTATGACAGCTGCACTTGCCACACCACCAATCGGGAGTAGGAAATCATCAGTAAAATGGTATGAGAATGGAAGCACTGTGAAAAAGAGGCTCTTTCTTATCCTCAATAATCTTCGTAGTTGAGAATGGAAATGCTGTCCTTGCCTCTAGACATCATGAACCCGATGCACGCTGTTCATGGGCATCAGGTTCCAGCAATGTTCAACCTTTTGTTCCGTCCAGATTGCAATCCTTATGCCATGTCGTGACCTAGTCGTCTAGAGCACGAACACGGGGAAACCCACCGAATAGGTTCGAACCCTCATCACGGGTCCTATGCATTTTCTAATTATCATTATTATTATTATTATTATTATTATTATTATTATTATTATTATTATTATTATTATTATTATTATTATTATTATTATTATTATACGATGGTAATACACCGACTATCACCATTGGTAGGTAAAGTGGAGACCACGACCGCGGAGGACGGCCGCACCGTTGTTACTTCTCGGCACTTGGGACTTAGCTCCCACCGGACCCAAAACCTGTAAGTATCTCCTGAGCATTGTGTTGTTAGGCACACTACCTGAGCATGGTGTTAGGCACACTCCCTGAGCATGGTGTTAGGCACACTACCTGAGCATGGTGTTAGGCACACTACCTGAGCATGGTGTTAGGCACACTACCTGAGCATGGTGTTAGGCACACTACCTGAGCATGGTGTTAGGCACACTACCTGAGCATGGTGTTAGGCACACTACCTGAGCATGGTGTTAGGCACACTACCTGAGCATGGTGTCGTTAGGCACACTACCTGAGCATGGTGTTAGGCACACTACCTGAGCATCGTGTGTTAGGCACACTACCTGAGCATGGTGTCGTTAGTCACACTACCTGAGCATGGTGTTGTTAGTCACACTACCTGAGCATGGTGTTAGGCACACTACCTGAGCTGTCGTTAGTCACACTACCTGAGCATGGTGTTGTTAGGCACACTACCTGAGCATGGTGTCGTTTACCTGAGCATGGTGTTAGGCACACTACCTGAGCATGGTGTTAGGCACACTACCTGAGCATGGTGTTAGGCACACTACCTGAGCATGGTGTTAGGCACACTACCTGAGCATGGTGTTAGGCACACTACCTGAGCATGGTGTTAGGCACACTACCTGAGCATGGTGTTAGGCACACTACCTGAGCATGGTGGTGTTAGGCACACTACCTGAGGCACACATGATGTTAGGCACACTACCTGAGCATGGTGTTAGGCACACTACCTGAGCATGGTGTTAGGCACACTACCTGAGCATGGTGTTAGGCACACTACCTGAGCATGGTGTTAGGCACACTACCTGAGCATGGTGTTAGGCACACTACCTGAGCATGGTGTTAGGCACACTACCTGAGCATGGTGTTAGGCACACTACCTGAGCATGGTGTTAGGCACACTACCTGAGCATGGTGTTAGGCACACTACCTGAGCATGGTGTTAGGCACACTACCTGAGCATGGTGTTAGGCACACTACCTGAGCATGGTGTTAGGCACACTACCTGAGCATGGTGTTAGGCACACTACCTGAGCATGGATGTTAGGCACACTACCTGAGCATGGTGTTAGGCACACTACCTGAGCATGTGTGTTAGGCACACTACCTGAGCATGGTGTTAGGCACACTACCTGAGCATGTGTTGTTAGGCACACTACCTGAGCATGGTGTTAGGCACACTACCTGAGCATGGTGTTAGCTAGCACACTACCTGAGCATGGTGTTAGGCACACTACCTGGGCATGTTAGGTGTTAGGCACACTACCTGAGCATGGTGTTAGGCACACTACCTGAGCATGGTGTTAGACACACTACCTGAGCATGGTGTTAGGCACACTACCTGAGCATGGTGTTAGGCACACTACCTGAGCATGGTGTTAGGCACACTACCTGAGCATGGTGTTAGGCACACTACCTGAGCATGGTGTTAGGCACACTACCTGAGCATGGTGTTAGGCACACTACCTGAGCATGGTGTTAGGCACACTACCTGAGCATGGTGTTAGGTTAGTCACACTACCACACTACCTGAGCATGGTGTTAGGCACACTACCTGAGCTGCACACAACCTGAGCATGGTGTCACACTACCTGAGCATGGTGTTATTCACACTACCTGAGCATGGTGTTAGGCACACTACCTGAGCATGGTGTTAGTCACACTACCTGAGCATGGTGTTAGGCACACTACCTGAGCATGGTGTTAGTCACACTACCTGAGCACACTACCTGAGCATGGTGTTAGGCACACTACCTGAGCATGGTGTTAGGCACACTACCTGAGCATGGTGTTAGGCACACTACCTGAGCATGGTGTTAGGCACACTACCTGAGCATGGTGTCCATTTGTTTCTTCCTCCATCTGGAATCGAACCCGGAACCTTAGGACTTCGAATGGCGAGCGCTGTCCACTCAGCTGTCAGGCTCATAAGTTTTCATATTTGCAATTATGTAAATATATGTACTCACATATGTATGTATTCGACAAATTTTGTAGCATATTTGAACCTGCACAATAACCTGTTTTGGTGATAATTGTGGCACCAAATCTTTTGAAATCTGTTAAGAATTTGTTTTCTTTAATAGCAGACTCTTTACTTCATAACGTTAAAAACTAATTGTAATTTATATATGTTGTATAATATTTAGACTTTAATAAGGTTAATACTTACATTTACCTGACCTATACTTGTATCATCTTATACTTGTGCTTTCTTAAGAACAAAACGGTAGATTTGGGTCCTGTTTTTAATATATGGTTTACTGTTGTTATTTATGGTGTAAGCGATTATTCTATAAACACCTCGGCTACCTCAGGCTAAACATGCACCTGAACTTGGCCATGAACAATAACGATAGGTTATCTTACACAAAGTTCTTCCCACAGGTTGACGGAAGGTGTGATTATGGTGATGTGGTCCGGGGCGATGTGGTTCATGGAGGTGATTGCCTTCTTAGTGGCATTCAACAGCGTCGAGCCCTCACATGCTTGGTATAACTACCTGTGGTATATTCCCTCGAGCCTTAACTGCCTGAGAGGGATAGGCATCTTCCTCATCGTGGTGTTGACGCCTGAGAACCGAGGCAAGCTGGCGCGAACATTTAACAGAGTGATCCGGTCCATGACGGCCTGCTGCATCTCCCTGGACCCGACGGCTCGCTCCACGTCTTCTGATGTCAATGCGGTGGGCATCCAACCTTCCAAGATGCGTATAAACGAGGGATTTGATCTAAACACTGATGTCACTTCTGATGTGGCATTAAGTTCTTCATTAGATGCTTCTGAACTCGGGCCAGGAAAAGGTGAGGCTGACGTGTCAGCCAAACGTTATAAAAAATCCCAGTGAAGTTTGCCTACTGTTTTACTGCTAGCAAGTGACCGTAACCATGCCACCGCTGTCCACTGGATGGGTGTGGTGTGCATAATAGAAAACTAAACTATATTTTTATGTCTAACTAATTTGCCACTTATCTACGGTGTGGCAGAACCACACCCATCCTCCCACTGGATGGGTGTGGTGTTCATAATGGAAAATTTAACTATATTTTTATGTCTAACTAGTTTGCACCTTATCTACGATACGGATATGTGCCCCAGAATGTATTGATTAAAAATCCTTTTCTAGTAGTGAGCACAGGAATCAGGTATCCTTCCTGCTAGATATTTGGAATTAATAAAAAATTACTATGACAAAGAGATAGCTTGTCGACAACAATCATTATAAGTCCTGTGACAATGAGATCTACGTCACAAGATCTATGTATTCAGACCGACTGTGGTCAAGTTGAGCCTTTTAATCTGTTGATGCAAAATACTACGGGTGCCCAAATTTCTCTAACGTCATGGTATAATTACACTAATTCTTCTCTCATATAAAATTTGTGATATAAATTTTGGAAAAATTAGTCTCACCGCTCTGATGATAAACAGTAAGGTTTTCTATAACTGTAACACCTGTTCTTTCCTGCCACAACTGTAAGGATTTGTATAAATCTCTGATAAACAGGCTCTAGATATAAATCTTGCTTATATTTATAAAAGATAATATCTGTCTGTTTGTAACGAAGGGCAACAAGTCACCATTGTTACACTTGCCACAATCACTCGTCGTAAAGGTTGTTAATAACTGGTAGAAGAAAGGGAGAGGGAAGGAAAAGTGGAGAGAGGTAGGAAGGAGGAAGGTATAATAAAGATGGGAGAGAGAGAGAAGAGACAAGAGGAGAATAGTAAGAGGAAGAGAGCGAGAGGCCAACTTGTCTCGTCGTTACATGTTAGTTCGAGGCTTTGGCCAGACGTTTAGGGCAAGCCTCACCAAACATTGTAGGGTGACTCATTTGTGTGTGGGGATGGTCAAAGGCGAGTCTGAGTGGAGCTCCAGGTCCGCCGCCCTGTTAAAAAAATATAAAATCCTCGTCCTCCCTACCATTCCACCCTCCCCCATCCCCGCGTCCTTCCTACCATTCCCCACTTCCCTGTCTCCTTGTCCTCTCCACCTTTCTTAATTCCCCTGTCCCATCTTCCCTACCATCCCCAACTCCCCAGTCCCTTCGTCCTCCCCAGCATTACCGCCTACCCTGTTCGCTCGTCCTCCCTGCCATCCCTCACTCTCATCCCCTCGTCCTCCCCACCATTCTCCACTCCATTGTCCGATGCATTCCCAAATGATCTGATGTTCCCATCACTGAAATATAAGAAAAAGTTAAAAAACGAAATGAAAAACAATTAAAAAATATAAAAGTATACTATACTCACGAAATGAATGGTATGATAAAAATGCAGCTCAATTTCAATACAATGTTACACAAAATATTTAAATCAAAATGAAAATAAATCAAAATCTATGAAAATTCAATTTCTCAATGAAATCAGAAACATTGAAATGGAATCATAACATATTTTGTATAGCGTGTGTTGCTCTTATGTGCAATAGATGGCACTGTTTTTCAAAAAAGTATGTTTTTAACTGTCACAGGTGTGCCATCTATACTTATACTCACGAAATGAAAGGTATGGTAAGCAACACAGCTCAATTCCAATGAATAACACTCAAAATAATTAAATCAAAACGAAAATAAATCGAAATCTATGAAAATTCAATTTGTCAATGCAATCGGAAACATTGAAATGGAATCGTAACACATTTAATATAGCATATGTTGCTGTTATGAGCAACAGATGGCGCTGTTTCTTAAAAAAAGAATGTTTTACCAGTCACGGGTGTAGCATCTATACTTATCATTACGAAATAAACGGTGTGGTAAACAACACAGCTCAATTCCAACACAATGTTACATAAAACAATTAAATCAAAATGAAAATAAATCGAAATCTATGAAAGTTCAATTTATCAACGCAATCGAAAACATTGAAATGGAATCATAACATATTTAATATAGCGTGCATTTTGCTATTACGTGCAACAGATGGCACTGTTTTTCAAAAACGCATGTTTTTATCTGTCATAGGGATGGCATCTATATAGTAGGTATATAAAACGATGCGCCTATTCGAATGCAACGTTGTGTCAAAATTTCAAAGCAATCGGTGAAGAACTTTCGGAGATAACAGCGTGTGTTGCTCTTACTTCCGACAGATGGCGCTGTTTAAAAAAAAAAAAACATGTTTTTTCCTGTCACAGGTGAAGCAAGTATATAGTAGATATATAAAAAGACGTGCCTATTCAAATGCAATGTTGTGTCAAAAATTCAAAGCAATCAGTACAGAGGTTTCAAAGATTTTCCTCACATGAAAAACACAGTTTTTCAGAAAAAGCATGTTTTTTTTTTTTTACCATCACAGACGTGACATCTATATAGTATGTATATAAAAACCTGGCCGGATGCGAATGGAACGTTAAGTGAAAATTACAAAGCAATCAATGAAGAACTTTTGAAGATTAGCGATTTTGAAGAAACGAACATTTCTATTTATATATATATATATGTCGTACCTAGTAGCCAGAACGCACTTCTCGGCCTACTATGCAAGGCCCGATTTGCCTAATAAGCCAAGTTTTCATGAATTAATTGTTTTTCGACTACCTAACCTACCTAACCTAACCTAACTTTTTTGGCTACCTAACCTAACCTATAAAGATAGGTTAGGTTAGGTTAGGTAGGGTTGGTTAGGTTCGGTCATATATCTACGTTAATTTTAACTCCAATAAAAAAAATTGACCTCATACATAATGAAATGGGTAGCTTTATCATTTCATAAGAAAAAAATTAGAGAAAATATATTAATTCAGGAAAACTTGGCTTATTAGGCAAATCGGGCCTTGCATAGTAGGCTGAGAAGTGCGTTCTGGCTGCTAGGTACGACATATATATATATATATATATATATATATATATATATATATATATATATATATATATATATATATATATATATATATATATGTCGTACCTAGTAGCCAGAACTCACTTCTCAGCCTACTATGCAAGGCCCGATTTGCCTAATAAGCCTAGTTTTCATGAATTAATGTTTTTTCGACAACCTAACCTACCTAACCTAACCTAACCTAACGTTTTCGGCTACCTAACCTAACCTAACCTATAAAGATAGGTTAGGTTAGGTTAGGTAGGGTTGGTTAGGTTCGGTCATATATCTACGGTAATTTTAACTCCAATAAAAAAAATTGACCTCATACATAATGAAATGGGTAGCTTTATCATTTCATGAGAAAAAAATTAGAGAAAATATATTAATTCAGGAAAACTTGGCTTATTAGGCAAATCGGGCCTTGCATAGTAGGCTGAGAAGTGCGTTCTGGCTACTAGGTACGACATATATATATATATATATATATATATATATATATATATATATATATATATATATATATATATATATATATATATATATATATATATTATTAAATATGACCGAAAAAGTAAGATTAATAATTCTTACACGAATTTTCTCAATATTTCTTATGTTTCTTTTCACTGTCGATAGTAATTGAAAAATCAATTCTCCAAATTTCATTTTTATTTCTAGATTGACAGGACACTTGAATGCGTTTCGTAATAACTTATTACATTTTCAAAGACTTTTAGTTTACACACACACAACTATAACCTGCAAACACTAAACAGAGTTCTTACTATGCTATGATTTAAACAGCTTTCATTTTATTTTATTCCCGCATTTTGGGTGAGGTGATATGTTACAACAGTTTTGGATGAGGTGAACAAAACTTTCAACACAGGACAGAACACGAAACAATGGGTATTATTTGGGTAAATTGAAGGTAAGAATGGAAGCAACTGCAGAGGGCCTATTGGCCCATATTTCTTGATGCTTCTATATTGGAGCGGAGTCTTGAAGTGGTTAGAATATAGTTGTGCATTAATTGGCTGTTGATTGCTGGTGTTGACTTCTTGATGTGTAGTGCCTCGCAGATGTCAAGCCGCCTACTATCTCTGTATCTATCGATGATTTCTGTGTTGTTTGCTAAGATTTCTCTGGTGATGGTCTGGTTGTGGGAAGAGATTATATGTTCCTTAATGGAGCCCTGTAGTTTATGCATCATTAATCGCCTGGAAAGAGATGTTGTCTTGCCCATATACTGAGTTCTTTGAGGCTTACAGTCCCCAAGTGGGCATTTGAAGGTTATAGACGACGTTGGTCTCTTTTTAAAGCTTCTGTTTTGTGTCTGGAGAGTTTCTCATGAGTAGGCTGGCCGTTTTTTTGGTTTTATAGTAAATCGTCAGTTGTATCTTCTGATTTTTGTCTGTAGGGATAACGTTTCTATTAACAATATCTTTCAGGACCCTTTCCTCCATTTTATGAGCTGTGGAAAAGAAGTTCCTGTAAAATAGTCTAATAGGGGGTATAGGTGTTGTGTTAGTTGTCTCTTCAGAGGTTGCATGGCGTTTCTCTTTCCTTCTTATGATGTCTTCGACGAAACCATTGGAGAAGCTGTTGTTGACTAGGACCTGCCTTACCCTACAGAGTTCTTCATCGACTTGTTTCCATCCCGAGCTGTGGCTGAGAGCACGGTCGACATAAGCGTTAACAACACTCCTCTTGTACCTGTCTGGGCAGTCACTGTTGGCATTTACGCACATTCCTATGTTTGTTTCCTTAGTGTAGACTGCAGTGTGGAAACCTTCGCTCCTTTCCATGACTGTTACATCTAGAAAGGGCAGCTTCCCATCCTTCTCCATCTCGTAAGTGAAACGCAACACAGAATTCTGCTCAAATGCCTCCTTCAGCTCCTGCAGATGTCTAACATCAGGTACCTGTGTAAAAATGTCGTCAACATACCTGCAGTATATGGCCGGTTTCAAGTTCATGTCGACTAAGACCTTTTGCTCGATGGTACCCATGTAGAAGTTCGCAAACAGGACACCTAGGGGAGAACCCATGGCGACCCCATCTACTTGCTTATACATGTGCCCATCCGGGCTCAAGAAGGGTGCCTCTTTAGTACAAGCTTGGAGTAGTTTCCTTAGAATGTTTTCTGGTATGTCAAGAGGAGTACAGGCCGGATCACGATACACTCTGTCCGCTATCATCCCGATTGTTTCATCCACAGGTACGTTGGTAAACAGTGATTCTACGTCCAACGAGGCTCCTATCCCTGTGGCCTGTGTTCCCCGCAGTAAGTCAACAAATTCCTTTGGAGACTTCAGGCTGAAGGCGCAAGGAACATAAGGAGTCAGCAAGCCGTTGAGTCGCTT